TTCGGGTTACAAGGAAGAAACTAGATAAACTATGCGATTCCCTTTAGGAAGGAACAACAACAACAACTACAACAAACTCATTTAGTATACAATTTGTGCTATTTGGTGTATTTTTAACTATGTATAACAACTTTTCTAAACGTATATACATGTATGTATGTATATATGTATGACGCATTCACATATACATACATACATATGTACTTATATACATATATTGATTGATATATTGATGTTCATTTATATATAATAATAATTGGTTCCTATAAAACTACTACCTAATTTATCCTACAAACTAAACGTTTGCATTTGCCCAATTTATTCTTTACATTCTTAGATTAAAGATTGCCCATTTGATTATCATAATATCTAAATGTTGTCCTCGTTCTTTTCTGTTATATTCATTTCTTATTTTTATTATGTTTTTTACAGTAGAACTTTTGGCAAACCAAATTTGAAATTCCATTTTTTAACATACATAAATATTTAATTATTTCCTATACCAACTGAATAGTTTTTCACAGTAGTTGAGCTCGACATGGTAGATAGAAGAGGAGTTCCAATTGAGGAAAAGAGCGCAACTCTTAAAGCGAGACCTTCTATCGATATCCCTAATAATTGAAATTAGTTATAAAGAGCAATTAGAAATAACCATAGAGCGATTGTAAATGGCAACATATTGGGGACTACAGATTACAATTGCTTAACAAACAATATTCAATTTTGATATCGGTTTATTCAAATCCATACATATAGCTTGTATACATATATCAATCGTATTGGTTTATATCATCCATAAATATAGATATATTCATCTATAGCGAACTTCCGATTAGTTATGCATTTTTGCTATCGATATCGGTAACGTTAAATACATACACAATATCGATAAACGGAAAAGTTCCGTATATGGTACTGCTAGATGCTCACTATGTCGGTATTCAAATGTTTACGCTGATTTTATCGCAATATAAAGCTAATATCGATACATTAATCAACAAAATATTCTAATAGTAGCTATATATCGAAACTGTATCGTAACTAGACTATAGAAAAAAGTGTTTTCGCTCAAAATATCGATAGATATATGTTAATTAACATAACGAGTTTTTTATGCTATTTATTTAGCTATATCGATAAACCGATTGCAATGAAAATACGATAATAGTTAGCATCGATAATAGCTTGTCAATTTAAACAGCATTGCTACCCATTATCGATAGATCCACTAACAATACAATAATAGCATACAGCAGTAAGCTATCGATATATATCGATATCATTTCTTTTCTTTCTACAAGTAGAAAATGTACTCCGAATTGCCTATGTATGTGTGCATATGCAGTTAAGGAAATTAAAATCAAAGTCTCCAATATGTGTGTCTGTGTGCGTGTGTATGTGTGGGAGAAACTGACTGGCATGTCTTTTGTTTAACCAACAGTGATAACGATAACGATAGCGATAGCGATAACGATACCAATTATGCAGAAGAAGAAGACAGCGGAAGACAGACAGTGAAACAAAGAGACTGAGACAGAGACAGAGACAGCGACAGCGACAGCGAGACAGCGAGCTTAACGAGCTGCTCAAGGCAAAGTGTTCGCTCAGCTTTGCTTCCCTTTTGTTGGGTTTAAGGGCCATCAAAGAGACATTTTGACATTTGCTTGCCACAACAAGCGACACACAGCACACACACGAACACACGCTGTGTTGTCTCTGCTGCGCTTTACAACACTGCACAAACACACAAACATACACACCCACAAGGAAAGAGAGAGAGAGAGAGAGAGACAGATGTACTTAAGCAGAGCAAAGCACAGCATCCGCTGCATAGTTGGCTCATCATTTCATGTTTGCTCATCAGCCGCTGCTCAGCTTCATTAGTTTGCTCACATGACCTACGACCACGCCGCTGCCGCCCCCTTAGCCATTAGCCACGCCCATGCCTAAGCTGGGCGAGCCCCTTGAGCCGTAATTGCCGTCGACAGCATTTAACAGTTATGTGACTCAGTTGCAAATGCAGCTGCACCTGCTGGTAGCAACATTTTCAGTTAGTTGAGGTTAACTGTGTATGTGCGCGGGTGTGTGTGCGCGTGTGTGTGTGTGTGTGTGTGAGGCATTAGTCTTGATCTAATTAAAGCCATCAGTCCCTTGCAGGACACACAGTCACTTCCTCTCTATCTTTCTCTCTCTCTCATTCTTAATCCAATCAGTTAAGTCAATCAATTTAACAGGCAGTTTGTCAGTCACTTTGTCAGCTGTTTAGTTTCAGCTCTCAGCGTCCATCTGTGCTCTCTCTCTCTCTCCCCCTCTCTCTCTCTCTCAGTGAATCTTGTTAGTTATTTCATTAGTTAGTCAGACAATCAGGCAATTTAACAGGCAGTTTGTCAGTCACTTTGCCAGCTAGTTTATAGTGCCACTATCGTACTCAAGCTTACTTAGCTCTGTCTCTCTATCTCTTTCTATTAACAGTTCCTCAGTCAGTTTAACAGGCACTTTGTCAGTCACTTTACCAGCTAGATTTCTTTTCCCTATTTTATCAGAGATCAGGGCTGAACATAACACACACACACATACAAACACCCACCTTATAAGATCAGGTCTCCATTCACAATGCATTCGCCCAGCTTGTGCCTTCAGCTTAAGCCTTATAAAGATCTCTATGAACATTTAATTTAACCTAACTTAACTATGTGCTTAGCCCTAATTAATATAATGATAATCAAGCGTGTCATTGTATATACATATATATACGTATATATTCGTATTCCCTTCGGTTATCCTATTCTATTCTGAACTTGATTCCTTCTATTGATTCTATTATGTCTATCTACTCTATGTCTCTCTCTCTCTACATATATATTTATAT